AGAAGAAGAAGAAGAAGAAGAAGAAGAAGAAGAAGAAGAAGAAGAAATTTATTCACTTGAGTCCAACTCTTGGTGATTCCATGGGCCAGGTTTCTCAATGTCTTCCAATCTTATGCTATTTTTTGGAGTTGGTCCATGCTTTGGCTGGTGTCAGTTTTGATGGTGTCCAACCACCATGTTCTTTGATTTGGTTTCAGTTTACCACTAAGTCTTCCAAACATAATTGCTTTCTTCAATGAATTCCCCACATGACCTGGCCAAAGTAAGGGAGACACAGCTGTGTGATTTTACCTTCTAGTGACATGCCTGATCTTAACCTGCTTGTTAATCATCTTTGTGTCCAAGGACAACATCACCTAGGCCCCAATGCATTGCAGTAGGGCTGCAGTTCAAACACCTTTTGCTTATTTAGCATTATAAATGCTGGCTATTTTCACCCAGAAACTGGATCTCTTTTAAAAGGCAATTAATTACTTGCTGAGAATTCACCAGGCTTTCTAATTTCTTCTCATTACTCCCTCACTTGGGATCAGGGGGAAGAGGAAGAGAAAGGAGGAGGAGGAGGAGGAGGAGGAGACGCCATCTTGAAAATATCTTGTCCATTCAACCTTATTTTGAAAAGTGATGCTTACTTACCCAGAACGCCTCTTTCCCCCTCTGGCAGGCACAGAACCTGCCATTCTCACTTGACCAGCGGCCATGGGTGCCACTGGCAATGTCACTGACCCTGGTATGTCCGTGGCCATTTCTGTAACACAGAACATAAAGCATCAGCTTAAGTTGGTAGGCAAATGGAGTGACGGTCTCCTGGCACAGCTGAGCTTTTGATAGATTGCAGTGAGCTCGTTTGCAAAATAGTTTCCATGGGGGACTTCCCTTATTTACAGAATGGCTGATAAGGAAAGTATCTTGGATACGAATTGTCCACTCATGAAAAAAGGAGGCTGGAATGATCCAATTGTTCAGAGGTGAACGACCCTTCCCCCTTTTAAAAAAAATTGAGATGGAAAACAGGAAGTTGTCCCAGTGGTTCATTTTTAAGATGTCCTTCCCTCTAAATCAGTGGTGGGATTCAATTGTTTTACTACTGGTTCCGTGGGTGTGGCTTGGTGGGCATGGCTTGGTGGGCATGGCAGGGGAAGGCCACTGCAAAATCCCATTCCCTCCCCACCCCACTAACCTGCTTTTCAGCTCCGTTCTCCTGTGCAGGGCAACCAAAGAAGACCCAGCCAATCAGCTGGGACTCAATGGGAGGCAGAAGATAGATGGGGTTGGCAGGGCCAGTCAGAGGTGGGATTTGCCCGTTCTCCGAACTACTCAAAATTTTCGCTACTGGTTCTCCAGAACCAGTCAGAACCTGCTGAATACTACCTCTGCTCTAAATGTCAGTGCAATCTGAACTGTTACAAATGCAATTCTTCTAAACTTCAGTGGTTGCTTGAGCCAATATATTAATCACCATTCAGCCGAATTGCATAGGATTGCATAGAAATGCATAGGGAAAAAATGCTAAATCTATAATTCTATAAACCTGCTAAGATTAGATAGAGAGTCAGTTCAATGTAGGCATTAAGGCATTTGAATAGGAACCAGGAGACTGTGAGTTCTAGTCCTGCCTTAGGCACAAAGCCAGCTGGGTGATCTTGGGCCAGTCCCTCTCGCTCAACCCTAGGAATGAGACAGTGGCAAACCACTTCCAAAATCTTTCCAAGAAAACCACAGGTCCTTCTTTAGGAGTCAACACTGATGCAAAGGAGGATTCGCATGTAGTAAAAATGAGATTTACCTACTTTCTATTCAGCAGACATCTGATACAAATGGAAAAAAGATCATTTTACACATATGCCAACTTTCATGTGCTTTTTAATGGACATGATTTGGATCTTATGGGCAACTCTTTCCTCCATCAGTCCATTAAATCAAGATGCCCTGTATTAGCATCATTCTATGCTTCCATTTTTCCCTCTCCAAATTAATGCTGAGTTTTAGGTCGCAATGATATTTACAAGCATTCCAATGAAAATAATGTCATAAAAAATCCAAATTAAACCATCAAATTGGTTTGAATGCAACATTTACATTTTATTCCAACTGCAATCCTTCAAATGCTTTGGAGAGATGGTAGTCTGGAAGCAAAGAATTGAATACTATTTGCTGGAGAATAATATTGGAAAATTAATAGGTGAATGGTGTTTCTTAATGTTTTCCTTTTTTAGATTACGAGTTGTTAAAAATGTGTTAGCTGTGTAGCACGCAGCACCTTTTTGGAGTCAAGTAACCTCAAACACCTAAGAAATAAATAATTAAAGAAAATTCCAAGTATCAGAATGCTAGGCTATCTGTACAATTTGTCTGGCCCAGTGTAGTTGTTCTTATGAATGACTCTTTGAAGCATACAAGAACATTACAACTCCATTTAAAAAAAAAAAAACTACATTATTAATTACATTGTCAGCATTCCATGAATTAGCAATTCCAAGCCAACATCTCTCCACTCTACATGAATGTCAAAAAAGAAACCCAGATACTCAACATTTGTAAAAGAGATTTTAAAAATACAATTTTAAGGAATGCCAGATATAGGTGTCTGTTCCTTAGCCTTTATCGTGCACTTAGAGGGAGCGTTTTATCATCAAATGCAAAAAAAGAAAAAGGAAGAAAGAGAAAGACAGAGAGAGAAAGAGAGAACCATAATGCCAGCTTGGTATTTGACAATAAAAGCTAAATCAAATCTTTGATAAAAACATATGCTGTACAAAATAACATTAATTATCTCCATTCACATGATAATACTGATATGAACCAAAAAAAAAGTCCGAGATTCTTAAAGACAGATTTGTCCAGCTATGATTTAAAAGAATTGGATTAATAAATTATTGCAAAGGCTCAGCTCAACCCCATTCACATTAATGCTCAACGCTTTTCAATGCGCCCTGCTCTCAACTAGATCAATTCTCTCCCACCTGTGCAGAAACGGTCCAACAAATACGTCTTTTTCCCCCCTCTCTCTCTCCTTTGGACGGCACCTTCTTTCAAAAGGAATTCATAAGAAATGCCAAAAACCTCCGGGAAGAAGCAGGGCTAGATTGGTATTCCACTCAGAACTGTCATCGCAGATCCGTTTATCTTAACAGCAGCCTATGATTCAGCAAGGAACAAACATCTTGCATACTGATCGGTTTATTTGCGGGGGGGGGGGGGGGGACTAGTTATAAAAAATTTTTGGGGGGCGGGGGGGGGGGGGGGGGGGGGGGGGGGGGATACATTGATATTAAATATTTGAGGTCTGCAGGGAAGGCAGGAACTGGAATGGAAGAGAGTTTTTGATGGACAATAACAGGCCGACATCCAGGGGTGGGCTGCTGGGGGTTAGCAGGGATTCGGGAGAGCCCCTAGCTAAGATTCTGTGCAGTTTGGAGAACCCCCAAATCCCACTCCTGGCTGGCCCCGTCCACCTCGCCCTTCCCAGGAGTCCCCACGCAGCCCGTTTTGTATGCAGGTAAGTGCAGGGCGTGCATGGAAACTCAGGGAGGGTGAAAAATGGGCCTCCTGGAAGGAAGTTCAGGAAGGCCGGAAATGGGCCCGTTTCTGGCTTCCAGAGACCCTCCGGAGCCCGGGGAGGGCAAAAACACCCTTCCCACTGTGGTGCCCAACTAGGCCACGCCCACCCAGCAACTAGGCAGAGAACCCGTTGCTAAAATTTTTGAAGCCCACCCCTGCCGACACCCACAAGTTCACCAACTCATTGCCCAGGGAGCAAGGGGTCTATGACTTGGGTGAGTGGACAGCCAACCATGGATCTCATCACCATTTTAAGGGAAATAACTTGAGATAAAAGCCTTCGATGACCATCTCGGACTTTCTTCAGTCTGATGCCTCTCATTCAGTGAGATTTCAGTGCTGACCCTGCTACCTTGATGGCATGCAACTGAACAGCTGGAGTCCAACACAACTGAAGGACACCAGGAAAGTAAAACTGCACAGTTCAGTCAATGACCAGGTGATTCACTTTACAACCAGAATAACAGAGTTGGAAGGGACCTGGGAGATCTTCTAGTCCGGGGTATCAAACGTGCATCGTCACAGCAGCATTACGTGACGTATCATGACTTTTTCTCCCCTTCGCTAACTGGGCGTGGGCGTGGCCTGCATATGTGACGCATCCGGCCTGTGGGCTGCCAGTTTGACACCCTTGTTCTAGTCCAACCCCCTGCTCTGGCAGGAAAGCCTGCATCATTTCAGACAAATGGTTGTCCAAGCTCTAAAAACTTCCAGTATCTGAGCACCCACCATTTCTGGAGGCATGTCCTTCCTCAATTAATTGTTCTAAATATCAGGAAATTTCTCTTTACTTCTAGGTTACTTGTCTCCTTGATTAGTTTCCATCCATCCATCTGAAGACTTCTTGTCCTGCCTTCAGGTCAGATGTGGTACTCAGCAGATTCTGACCAGTTCTGGAGAACCGTAGTGGAAATTTTGAGTAGTTCAGAGAACCGGTAAATCCCACCTCCGACTGGCCCCGCCCCCATCTCTTCTCTGCCTCCCACTGAGTCCCAGCTGATTGGCTGGGTCTTCTTTGGTTGCCCTGCACAGGAGAATGGAGCTGGAAAGCAGGTTAGTGGGGTGGAGAGGGAATGGGGATTTTGTAGTATCCTTCCCCTGCCATGCCCACCAAGCCATGCCAAGGCCACCAAGCCATGCCCACAGAACCAGAACTAATTTTTTTTGAATCCCACCACTGCTTCAGGTGCTTTGAAGAATAGGTTGACTCCCTCTTCTTTGTGGCAACCTGTGAGATATTGGAACACTGCTATCATGCCTCCCCTAGTCCTTCTTTTCATTAAACTAGACATACCCAGTTCCTGCAACCGTTCTTGGTATGTTTTAGCCTCCAGACCCCTAATTGTTTTTGCTCCTCTTCTCGGCACTCTTTCTAGAGTCTCCACATCTTTTTTACATTTTACAGTATTCCAAGTGTGGCCTTACCAAGGCATTATAAAGTGGTATCAACACTTCACGTGATCTTGATTCTATCCCTCTGTTTATGCGGCCTAGAACTGTGTTGGCTTGTTTGGCTGCTCTTGCACACGGCTGGATCATATTTAAGTTAATGTCCACTAGGGACTCCAAGATCCTTCTGACAGTTACTACTATTCAGCCAGGTACCACCTATTCTATGGTATGGTATTTAACCATGGTAAAAATGGTCATAAAATTGGGTCCACACATGTGATGATTGACTTAAACAACGATGGCTTAGCGACTGAAATTCTGGTACAGATTGTGTTTGTAAGTCGAGGACTACCCAAAATGCAGTTTCGGTGGCGTTACTCTCCTCGCTATTCTTCACTGAGCATTTTCACAGCATTCGTCTCTTTCTCGCCCTTTGAGAATGAGTTAATTTTAACCATGATTAAGTAGCCATTCGGGACACAATGTTCAAGAGCGTTGGGTGAAAGCGCAATTTGTTACACTATTTTAAATACAGCTGTCGTGATTTCGCTCACTGCTAGATCAGCAAGGCAGATGTCTCCTGCTCAGCACAAGCATTAAAAAGCCAGCGTTAAATGCATTTCTAAGGGCAACTGAGCCATAAAAGGGGCAGACCAAACAATAAAAAGCCGGGCTATTTTGAACATGAAATTTTACGGAACTATTCTGAGTAGTTTCACGTGCAAAATGGGACGCTGCCCAAAACATTGTGCTTGAAAAGGTTTTAAATGTTTTGCACATGCTCACAACCTAA